GTCATGTGTGGAGAAAAAGCCTCTAGCTATCCCATCCATCATCTTATTTCTCAAATTTGTTTTACAATATGTCTAGTTTTTCATACTTGTTTGTTTGTTTCAACTTCGTCCAAAACTCAATCCCCCCTTTACTTTAGTGTGTCTAATTATTTATAATTTGTTTTAATTCGTGTTTTTAAATGTTTTTGATTCAAGTAAAAGTTAATTTTCGTCCAAAGTCATTCCTAGTATCTAGTTTAAGTTTATTTAGTTGTTTTAAGTTGTTTTGAGTATTTTAAGTTTGCTTTAAGTCTTGTGAGTCTTGTTAAGTATTTTGAAGTTTAGTTTTATGTTTTTGAGTCAGTTTAGAGGTTATTAGCAAGCCCTCCTAATCCCCGGTCCAGAACGATCCCTACTTATACTTGTACTACAATTGTCAAAAGAGGGTTAAATTTGTGTGTTAAGATAATTTTCGCATCACCTATTATTACAATATATTTACAACTCATGCCACAACTCCCTAATTAAGTCAATAAAGGTTATCATAACTCACCCTAATTATGATGAGCAACAAGCCCCTATACTATTAATACATTATACCAACAAATTTACCTATATTTTGTAGATTAAATAATAAGTATATTTATCTGAGAAATATTAATAGTATGCCTAATAAGTATATTTTTATGAGAAATATCGATAATATGCCTACTAATAGAGGCTTGGAATGCATGATAAACATGAATGAAATATTATACTAATTTTCCTATATTTTGTAGATTCATTAATGTAAATAATAAAATATACTTGGGTAAATTACACAAAACTACCTCAACTATTGGGTCATTAACAGTTTCATACCTCGTCTTTAAAAAGTTCAATGTCATACCTTATCTTCGAATTTGTTGCAATTTCATACCTTCCGTCAGTTGTCTGTTAATTCCTCTGTTAAATGCTGATGTGGCTTAAGGCAGGGCCCACTTTCTATTAAAAAAATAATTAAATATTAACTAAATTAAAAATAAATAAAAATAATAAAAAAACACCAAACCAAACCCATATTCCCTCCCCCCCCCCCCCGGCCCCCCAAAACCTTCCTTTCAAATCCAGAACCCCACCCCCACCTCCCCCTCACCCCTCTTCTCCCTCCCTCTCCTCCCAACCACCTCCCTCTCCTCCACTCTCTTCACCTCCCCTCCCATTCAAAACTTAAAAAATTAAAAAAAAATTAAAAAAAAATCAGAGGGTCCCCATTACCTCTGTCAATGAGTTTGTCAACGAGGTAGGACCCGACGAACCCAGCTCTACCGGTGATGACGATTTGCAGCCTTTGTTGCCCGAGCGCAACAGGGACGCGACCCATCTTGGCATGGGTGGGCTTGGAGACAAGGTTGTGGGTAGTGGAAAAGGTTCTGGAGACGAACTTGGCGTCGAAGTTGGGATTGGAAGGGCTGAGGTAGGAGAGGGTGGGCTAGAGGATGAAGAAGGTGGAGCCGATGAGAATGCCGACGAGGATGAAGAGGAGGCATTGCTCCTTGAAGAGGTAGTTGTTGGGTTTGGAATTATTTGGTTTTTTGTTTTTTTTTTTTTTTTAATTTTTCAATATTTAGTTAATATTTATTCATTTATTTTAATATGCTGACGTGGCTTGTGTCCCGCCTCAAGCCACGTTAGCATTTAACGGAGGAATTGACTGACAACTGACGAAATGTATGAAATTGTAACAAATTCGTAGATGAGGTATGACATTGAAACTTTTTAAATATGAGGTATGCCTAATAAGTATATTTATATGAGAAATATCAATAATATGCCTACTAATAGAGGTTTGGGATGCATGATAAGCATGTATGAAATATTATACTAATTTACCTATACAAATTAATTTACCTATATTTTGTAGACTCACTAATTTAAATGATAAATATATTTCATATGAGAAATATTAATAATATGCCACCTAATAGAGGCTCAGGATCCATGATAAACATGTATGAAATTTTATACTAATTTACCTACATAAATTATTTACCTATATTTTCCAAATTCAAAAATTTGATAATAGGTGCATTATTTTTCAAAATGACCAAAACTATTAGTACTAAGTAGGTACACTAATCTTTTCAAAAAAAAAAAAAAATAGGTACATTGATATCGGAAAAACAAAACAAAACATACTAGACACATCATTTTTTACCCTTTTTGTTTTAAAGAAAACAAAAGCATGGTTTTTATTAAATCAATAGGGTACATTAATCTGAAAATTTATTGTTGAATTCAAAACGTTTTCAATTTTTATTCCTACGTCAATTAAAATTTCAACGCCATTACACACGTTGCAAGAAAATAAAAAAGCTTTCCATTTTAGTTTTGATATCAACATAAAATGCTATAATGACTTAATTGAGGGTAATTTGGGGAATCTGAATAATATTAAATATGACGCACAAACTTGATTAGGTAATTTGCTTAGGTGGAGCCTAGTCATCGGGTTTTTGTTACAAAAATATATTATTGTGGGTTTTATGTAAAAAAAACTGAGTTTGGAGGGGTAAAGTCTCATTTTCAGTAAAAGAAAATGAATTCTTTTCAAGATGAACAAAATAAGACCCATATAGTGATGGGAGTGGCCATCTTCGTTGTCCTTTGCACCTTCGACAACCGTCCTTACAGGCTTACCCACCACCACCACCACCAGCCACCGTCCTTCTTCTGCTTTCAAACCGATGATTAATTGTATCTTGTGAAATCGTTGAGTAATCGAATTCATGGCACCTACAAAAATTGTTTTTGGTCGGTGCACTGGTTTGGTCGAATTTGCAGAGGAATGACGATGACAGAGGATAGAGATTGAAGGGGGATAAGATTGGGATTGACTGAGCGGCTGGCATAGCGAAGGGAGGAAGAAGATAGGTGTTTGGTTATCAGGATAGCAAGAATTTGTGTGTGAGTTTTAAAATGAGGTGTTGGACAATTATTAGGCCAATCAGCGAAAAAAGAATTTGTGGTGTGGAGCCTAAAATAATCCCAAAAATTATAGAGGCAACACGTGAACTTTTATTCAAGAAAGACAAGATTGCCCTCAATAAATGATCAGGCTTCTCAGATGCTCCCACGTGCAGCTCACATCCCTGGAGGACTCAGCAGCTGAACACAACTGCCCACAACTCACCTGCCCTTGGCAAGGAATTAAAGATAATGATTAATTACCCAAATCCTATCTTTAATACATTCCTTTTTGAAGATTGACTCTAATCAAGTAAGTAATCCTAATTTAAATAAATTAGGGATAAATAAATTAGGGATTATTACACCATTATCTCAGGATATTATTTCCTATTTAATATCTTGGGAATATTTAGAGAATATCTCTCCATTAACACTATATGGCCGGCCCTATCCCTATAAATACCCCATATTTTGTCAAATTTCAAGAGCTTTTTGCAACCCTAAAAAGCCTTAAACACTTTACTCTATCAGAGAAACTAACTTAGGCATCAGAGATCCATTGACCTAACCCCCCCACCTCATGGGCGCGTGAGGTTTAGGTCTTTAATTAAAGATGTTGATTGTTTTGCAGGTGCATTTTCGTCAAAACTGAAGACGGCGAAAATTTGCATCGACACGTGGAGTTTGTGTTTTCTCATCGAGAAACCAACAAAGTGGTGCATGTTGTAGTGGCTTTCATTCAATCGACAGGTGGTTGATTGTATTGGTCCCGATTTTCCTTCTAATATTCTTGCTTATGATGTAAAGAAAAAAAAGAATATGTGGAGTTTGTGTTTTCTGATCGAGAAACCAACAAAGTGGTACACATTGTAGTGGCTTTCATTCATTCAACAGGTGGTTGATTGTATTGATCCTGATTTTCTTTCTAATATTCTTGCTTATGATGTAAACTTGACTTGAATAAAATCTATCGTTCGAAAAAGACAAAAAAGTCAATAAAAATTGGGTACTGACAAGGCAGTACCAAGTATTGTCCGTTGGCAGATCAGGGGGTGAAGTGATCATGCATGTTTTTACGTGTGAGGACAACAGTCATTTACCCCCAACCGTTTTAGGAGACGTAGCGCCACCAACCCCCGCCACCTTTAACCCTCCAACGAAAAGTTGTGTTTGCTTAGGCCACCTTTGCACCTTTAGATGGAAAACAAATTAATTAAAATGACAAAAGAATAATTATAAAAGCCATTTACTGTTTTACCATATCAGCAATTTTTATCGGATTTTCTGTTTTATTTTTTCATTTCTAATTGGTCCAGGTGAAATTTTCTTAAACTTAAATTTATTTTATCGGACAGAGAAAAATATAAAAATTATTTCCAAAACTAAATAACGGTCATTTTCCTGCTGGATTTTTCCCTTTTTGGCTGTTTTGGAGTTATAATCTACCCTCACGGTCGCCTTCACGAACAGTTTCCTCAAAACCCCCGCCGCTGTTTTCATATTTTTATTTTCTCGTGAAACAAACGGTAATCGTATTATTTTATTTTTCGATATTTTTTTTTGTTCATCGAATGAGTGAATTATGAAAAGTACGTAGAGTTTGAGAAGAGTAAGAATTGTAGTTAGGTGATTCATACATACACACGTAGATATATATATTTAAAGTTATGATTTTGTTGATTTTTTTTATCTTTTGATTGACCAAGAAAATGTTTTGATCTTTTTTTCGTTGTTGTTGTTGTTGTATATTTGTGCTTATCAATCTTTGAGTTGCATAATGCTTTGATTTAAAATTGTCTTGGCCGCAAAAAATAAACATAAAAAATTTAAAAATAATGTTTAAAAGTTTCAGATTCACTCTATTCCCTCTACTTTTTCTAATTGAAATGATATATATTTTCACTCTATTTCTCTCTCTCTTTTATTTTATTTTATTGAAAATGATGTATATATTTTTGAAACGGTTTATTGGAACTTTGGTCTGGCTTAATTAGAAGTCTTGATATTTGAATGCCTCAAAAAAAACAACCCAAACTCTTTAGTTCTTCCACAGTTCGTATTTAAAGAGTAATCATAACTTGTTGGTTGTGTCCCTTGTGGGACGTTCAAACCTCAAAGTTTTAGATGTTGGAAAAGATGAATATTTTTTTTGAGTTCAAAGCATAGATCTTTTTTGTCCTGGGTTCTGATTTATAATTTTTATCTCTTTAGTTGAGTAAAATGGAGGGTCTGAATTTATTTTCTAGTCCGTTGATAAAATTGTATTTTTTTTATTCAATTCTTTCTTGATACTTTAGGGTTTCTGGTTTAACTGGTTTTGATCTGTACAGGTTAAAAGAAAGAATAAAGTATTTGAGTTAATTATCATCTTGGCCTCTTTTATCTAGTTTCTGTTTGTTTTTTTGTTTTTGTTTTTCTTTGTCATGCCTCGTTTGCTGCAGTTGCTGATAGATTTTGGAGTTTTAGTGTGATTTCAGGTTTTTACGCATGGCATCTGAAGGGCAAGGAACGATTGAAATTCCATCAGGATTACCTACAGCAGCAATGGAAGAAATGTTTGAAGGTCCAGTGGGGTATCAGGCGTTCCCGAACAGCATCCAGGCTGGAACATCGCCTGCAATGGCCCCACCACCGGCAAGTGGTGGAGCTAACGGTGCTAGCACTTCAGGGAAGAAGAAGAGGGGCAGACCGAGGAAGTATGGCCCCTATGGGACAGCATCAGCGGCAAAAAAACCCTCCTCACCCGATGGGACAGTGCCACCGGCTACTGGAAAGTGCTCTTCAGAGCAGAAGGGCAAGGCACCAATGGCCGAGCCAATTGGTGCGTATATTATAACCATTTTAGTATTTACTCATTTGCATTTTATAGCATGCCGTTTGGGTCTGAGAATGATATGTGTTTGTAACAAAAATAAGATATAATAAACGTGCCACAAGTTGATCGATATGAAATTTTGATGGTTTAAGTTCGGTTTTGGTAGCATTAATAGTTTGTTTCTGTTTATTTTATATTGGAACTGCTTTCAGACTAGGAAGATTATGAATTAATACACTGGGATTTTGAAGTTGATCTCAGTTATAGGATAGATAATCTTTGTTCAAATTTGGAAGTGTAATAGAGAGAGTTTTTAGGTGAAATTTGTTCTTCTTTCCTTTCCTTTGTTAAGCGTATCCTCACGCGATGAGAGAGAGATGGGGATACACGGTAGAATCTCTTGTGTGTAAGATGTATACAAGATCCTTTAAGTTTATATAAATTGAATAAAACATTAGATCTTAACAAGGGGCCATAATTTATTAAGGATGATGCTGATCATGAGTTTCTTATCAAGCATTAGAGTACGAGAAGTTTTTGTCAGTGTGAGGATATGAAGATAAAAGAGTCTCACATAGGTTTAAGGGAAAAACCTTGCAATGGCTTATAAAAGGTTAGGCTATTCCTCATATTGCCAATTAGTTTTGTGGTGGAACCTCAACTTTCTTAACTTAGAATACAAGTTTTTCTTGATTATGTGTAACAAGTTTGGATTTCTAAGTTTGTTTTACACAAACTGTAGGTTTTGAGGGTTAGCAGCTAATCCTGCTTTGGTTAATACACCTACCGAGATATGAAGAAGGCCCTTTCATCAACATAAACCCGTAAACCTTATTATATTTTACTCGTTATACCCCCTTGTCTCATATCTACACCGCCTGCCTTCACACCTCTCTCACTAATCATTTAGCCTCCGCTATAAAGCGAAATCATTATCTAGCTTTCCTTTTGTATTTAGTCCTTTCCTTTTGAATTTTTTTTCCAACAAAATATTAAGGAAGGATCTTCTTGTCCCGGTCTTAGGTGTTCCATTTCTTCTTCTCTCTCAGTTCTCTCACAACGATCCTCATCAATCTAAACTACAACCTCATCAATTTTTAGTTGTTATATGGATCCACTTTCCTCAAACATCACATTAATCTAAATCCCTCCTCAATGGTCCAACACCCTTTCAGCCATCATTTAGCTCGGGGTAACCCCTTCACTCATCATTAAGCTATGGTTAATCCTTTCACCAGTCATTAAGCTCAGGTTGGCAATTTGAGTTCACTCCCATACTAATTAGGCCTAACATGATGTTTTTTAACTAATCGTGTCGAATGACGCAATACTAACCCGGTCGATCCTTGTATTTCTAAACTGTTGGAAGCTAACCAGCTCCTGGAGTCGGGGAGTCGAAGGCAGCAAGATACTCCCGAGCAAAAGGATGTCATCTGCATCGAAGAAGAAGAAAGAAAATGAAGGGTTCTAGTCTCCAACGGCTAGTTTTGTTTTTTAAATGTTAGTGTAAGTGTGTGAGTGACAAGTGTACACTCCAGATTAAATCATTTAACCCCAAATGAAGGGTTAGGATGTAATCTGGAGTAGTAAGGCTTAATGGTTGTTAAAGCCTCTTGTCAATCACCTTTTTAGAGAGTATGGGTGATGGAAATGCACCATACTCTTGTGTAATGTTCACTCTTCTTATTCAATCAAGTCTGCTGCATTAACTCAGCAGAAACCAATCCCCAAGTTCCTTCTTTCAATTTCTCTACTATCCTACCCAAGAAACCGATTCACACTCAATCAAGAAACACAAAATAAACAAACTTTATCATGGCCTCAGAGCTTTGTTATTGATCTTACAACTTTCGGGGCGTAATCTGTGCAAGATAAGATCTTTGGGAGCACCAACGTAGTGTCTTCTATAACAATAATCAACAAACAATTCTGGAAATGAAAGGATCCAGCAGTAGCAGTGAGCTAAAAGCTCCAGTCTTTGATGGGGAGAATTATGATTTTTGGAGAATAAGAATGACAACCATTTTCAAATCCTATGATCTATGGGATATGGTTCAACATGGGTATGAACTACCTGAGATGGAGATCGATGCTCTAGAGGAGGATCTCACAGAAACACAACTCAAAACACTGAAGCAGAATCGGATGGAGGATGCTAGAGCACTTGGAATCATTCAAGGTGCTGTCTCTGACACCATTTTTCCGAGGATAGCAAATGAAGAGACTGCAAAGGGAGCTTGGGAAGTTTTACAGCAAGAATACAGAGGAGACACCAAAGTTAGAAAGGTAAAACTTCAGTCCCTTAGAAGAGATTTTGAGTATACAAGAATGAGGGAAAATGAGTTGTTAAAAGACTACTTCACTAGGCTGTTTGATGTTGTAAACAAGATGAAAACATATGGTGAGGAACTGCCTAATGAAAGAATTGTCCAAAAACTGTTGATTAGTTTGACTAAACCCTATGATTCAATAGTGAGTGTTATAGAAGAAACCAAAGACACTGAAACTCTCAGTGTACAAGAGGTGATGGCATCCTTAAGAGCTTTTGATCAAAGGCTCGAGAGGCATGCTGACACTGCACCTGAGAAAGCCTTTCAAACACTCAATGTTGGATCTAGTAGTCAAGCCAGTGCAAGCAATCAGAAACCACAGTGGAAGGGCAAAAGCAAGAAATGGGAAGGAAAAGGGTATCACAACTCAAGACCTAACCAAGGCAGCAACACCAATGTAGGTCCAAGAACCAAGCAACAATGTAAGCACTGTGATAAATTCCACCTTGGAGAGTGTTGGTTCAAGGACAAGCCTAGATGCCACAAATGCAACAGGTTTGGGCACATTATGAAGGACTGCAGATCAAAGAATGTGCAACAAGTAAACTGTGCAAATCAAGTGGAAGAAGAAGCAAATGTGTTCTGTGCTTTCAATGCAAAAATGGAGAGAAACAATGAAGTGTGGTACATTGACAGTGGCTGCAGCAACCACATGACTGCACATGAGTCTTTACTTATTAACATCGACACAAACTTCACTGGAAAAGTGAAAATGGGTGATGGAAACATTGTCAAAGCCACTGGAAGAGGAACTCTGGTTATCAACACCAAGAAAGGAAGAAGATGTATAAGGGAGGTGATGCTAGTGCCTGGATTGGATGAGAATCTACTTAGTGTGGGTCAAATGATGGAGCATGGCTATTTCCTACTCTTTGGGGGAACTGTGGTTGAGATCTATGATGACAGATCCCTATCAAACTTGGTGACCAAAGTGGAAGTGAAAAACAGAAGCTTTCCACTTGTACTGAAGTACTTAGAAGAAGTGGGCAAAGAAAGCAAGTGTGACAAGTTCTATGAAACTATGGCACAAGAGACTTGGTCATTTTAAACATGACAAGCTTACAAAATCTGCAAAAGGATGAAATGGTGCAAGGTATACCAAAAATGGATCAATGCAATGAAATCTGTGAAGGGTGTGTGTTTGGCAAGCATCACAGAGATTCATTTGAAGCTGGAAAGGCTTGGAGGGCAATAAAGCCACTCGAATTGATTCACTCAGATGTGTGTGGACCAATGAGAACAACAACAATCAGTGGAAACAGGTATTTCCTAACCTTCATTGATGATTATTCACGGATGTGTTGGGTGTATTTCATGAGGTTCAAGTCTGAGGTATTCACAATATTCAAGAAGTTTAAGGCAATGGTGGAATTGCAAAGTGGATACCAAATCAAAAGACTAAGAAGTGATAGGGGTGGTGAGTACACCTCACATGAGTTCAATGTATTCTGTGAAGATGTAGGGTTAGAGAAACAACTCACTGTGGCATATTCACCACAACAGAATGGGATTGCAGAAAGGAAGATAGGACTATAGTCGAAATGGCTAAGTCTATGATGCATGAGAAGAACATGCCTTATAAATTTTGGGGTGAAGCTGTGAACACCTCAGTGTATCTATTGAATAGGTGTCCTACTAAGGCATTGGAGAAGAAGACTCCATTTGAAGTGTTCAGTGGAAGGAAGCCTTCTGTGAAGCATCTGAGAGTGTTTGGCTCAGTATGCTACAATCTCATCCCTCATCAACTAAGGCACAAGTTGGAGAAATCAAGTAACAAGGGTGTTTTTGTAGGCTATGGTACCAGTGAGAAAGGATACAGAGTTTATAATGTGTTGACTCAAAAGATAATCCTATCAAGGGATGTTATCTTTGATGAAGACTCAATGTGGAACTGGGATACAATGGTAGAGGAAAAGGACAGTGTCTCTCTACAAATTGACCTAAACAAAAGGCAAACAAGGGAGCCTATAGAGATCTCAGTTCAAGAAGAAGTCACAGATAATGGTGACATACAAGGGACCCCACAGCAAGCTACTATGAGTCCACAATCAAGTCAATCACAGACAACAACTCCTAGTTCAACTCCAGTAAGATTGAGAAATCTGGATGAGATTTATGCTACATGTAATTACTGTGTAGTAGAACCAGAAACGTATGAAGAAGCTGAGAAAGACAAAGCTTGGAAGAAAGCAATGAAGGAAGAGCTTGAAATGATAGAAAAGAATGACACTTGGGAACTTGTAAATCGACCAAGTGAGAAGCCTGTGATTGGTGTAAAATGGGTGTACAAAGTGAAGCTAAATCTAGATGGTTCTGTGCAAAAGAACAAGGCCAGGTTAGTGGCCAAAGGTTACTCACAGAAACCTAGTGTAGACTTCAATGAAACCTTTGCTCCAGTAGCAAGGTTAGACACCATAAGGACCTTGATAGCACTAGCAGCCAAGAAGGGTTGGAAGCTGCATCAATTGGATGTTAAATCTGCATTTCTAAATGGAGTGCTAGAGGATGAAGTGTTTGTGGAACAACCTCAAGGGTTCACAAATCAAGAGTTTCCAGAAAAAAGTGTACAAGTTAAGGAAGGCTCTTTATGGCCTAAAACAAGCTCCAAGAGCTTGGTACAGTGAGATTGATTCATATTTCACTGAGAACGGATTTCAGAAAAGTCCTAGTGAAGCTACACTCTACACCAAGACAGAAAGCAACAACAAGACACTCATTGTCTCAATCTATGTGGATGATGTTGTCTACACTGGAAATGATGCTGCAATGATGGAAGAGTTCAAGGAAGAAATGATGAAGAGGTACGAGATGACTGACCTAGGCCTCTTGCATCATTTTCTTGGCATTGGGGTAATTCAAAAAGCAAGTAGCATCTTTATTCATCAAAAGAAGTATGCTGAAACTTTGCTTGAAAAGTTTGGTTTGAAGGGTTGCAAACCAGTTTCTACACCCTTAATTGCAAATGAGAAGCTCAAGAAGGAGGATGGAAGTGAACCTGCAGATGCTAGTCTCTATAAAAGCATTGTTGGCAGTCTATTGTATCTAACTGCAACAAGGCCGGATCTGATGTTCTCAGCAAGTCTACTTTCTAGGTTTATGCAGAATCCTAGCAAGATACATATGGGCACAGCTAAGAGAGTGCTAAGATATGTACAAGGAACTCTTGATTATGGGATCAAATATGAGATGGGAAAGTCATCTATTCTAATTGGATTCTGTGACAGTGACTGGGGTGGCAGTGAGGATGATAGTAGAAGCACATCGGGCTATGCTTTCACTTTCGGATCAGGGGTATTTTCATGGGCCTCTGTGAAGCAACAAAGTGTTGCACTGTCCACAGCCGAGGCAGAGTATGTGAGTGCATCAGAAGCTACATCTCAAGCTATTTGGCTAAGGTTCATACTTAAAGATTTTGGCGAATTGCAAGTTGAAGCCACACCACTTCTGTGTGACAACACCTCTGCAATTGCCATGACTAAAAACCCAGTATTTCATCAGAGAACAAAACACATCAAGAGAAGATATCATTTCATCAGAGAAGCATTGCAGGACAACACAATCAAGCTAATCTATTGCAGCACAGAAGATCAGATCGCAGACATATTCACAAAAGCACTACCGAAGGAGAGATTCAATTACCTGAGGGGTTTGCTCGGATTGACTCCCAGAAGCAGTTTAGAAGGGAGTGTTGGAAGCTAACCAGCTCCTGGAGTCGGGGAGTCGAAGGCAGCAAGATACTCCCGAGCAAAAGGATGTCATCTGCATCGAAGAAGAAGAAAGAAAATGAAGGGTTCTAGTCTCCAACGGCTAGTTTTGTTTTTTAAATGTTAGTGTAAGTGTGTGAGTGACAAGTGTACACTCCAGATTAAATCATTTAACCCCAAATGAAGGGTTAGGATGTAATCTGGAGTAGTAAGGCTTAATGGTTGTTAAAGCCTCTTGTCAATCACCTTTTTAGAGAGTATGGGTGATGGAAATGCACCATACTCTTGTGTAATGTTCACTCTTCTTATTCAATCAAGTCTGCTGCATTAACTCAGCAGAAACCAATCCCCAAGTTCCTTCTTTCAATTTCTCTACTATCCTACCCAAGAAACCGATTCAAACACTCAATCAAGAAACACAAAATAAACAAACTTTATCATAAACCAGATATATTACTTATGGATTACTTTTTGGATAAAAATCCACAGGTCTTGATCAGTTTTAACGAAATATAAGATGACTCCTACAATACATACTATGAAATGAGATAAACTTACTCATTTGAATTCGTATATTACTAGCTAAATGAGTATCAGGTCAAAGGTGTTTGACACTAACTCGAACCTGTTATTATTCGTGTTTGCATCTCTTCTCAAATTCATGTTCGTTTTAAGGAATGATCAATCCTGAACTTGCTCACTTCGTGTGAGTTAGATTTATATAAAAAATTTCACCCTAGATTCATCCCTAAACCGGACAGCACCATCTAGCTTTCTTTTGTGTATAATGCTTTTCCTTTTGTATACGGATGCCTTCATTTTGTATTTTTTTTTTTTTTTTGCAAATCTTGAGAGCGATGTTCATGTCCCAGTTCCTATTGATCCATTTTATCATCTCTTGGTTCTCTCTCACATACTAGGAAGATACAAACTGATTCTTTTTACTTCAATTTTTTGTTTTAAGGAAGAATTAGACAAACAGAGATTATATTATGGTTCAATATTGACGAGTTGTAATTTTAAATTGGTCTGTCCATTTTTGTTTGGTTTGTCATGAATTATGTGAAGAGACAATTCTTAGCTGAATTAGTTTTTGACATTGTGCAGTTTTGGCATACTCTTAGGCTTCATTTCTTATTTGACAATTTAGTAATGTAGTCTATGAATTAGGTTCACTTTTTATTCATGTGTACATGTTTATTGTGCAGAACCTGAGAATCGAAGGGGTTCTTTATGATGTTTAGATTTCTCGTACTATTAGTTAGTGGCTACTAGTTTGCTGTTCAACTTCAATATTGTTGGACTCCAGAAAATCAAGCAAAACAATTTAACTCATATTATTGGACTTATAAATGGGTACCATATATGTTTGCGGCTTGATTTGATCATTGCTGAAATATTACCTTGAGTGCTTCCATTTGGGATTAAGAGAATGAATATCATGCGTGTTTATTTCTAAGGAATTTTTTGCTCACCTATCAAGAAAGGAAAATTTTGTTATATTTTAGAGCAAACATTATCGTGCTGAATATTCAAACTGGCTTTTTTTAAGGGGTACCCTAGACTAACCGTTTCTATATTGTTATTTTGCAGGGGAGGACTGGGGTTCAATCGAGACTACTTTGAACAATTTTACGCCCTATATGATCACTGTCAATTCTGGTGAGGTAAAATATAGCAACATTTCTACTAAGTGGAGTTTCTTCCTGATTTGTAATTCTCTTTTGGTTATGCTGTCTGCCCTTGACATGAATTTCACCCTGGTTAAATAAAAACGTACAATATGTTTGGGGTGAGGGATTTCTAAATTTGAAGGCAGTTAGGCAAAATTATGAAAAAATGGATCACAAAAATTTAGATAGGAGGAATTAGAAAATGCACCACGTGAGCATTACAAAGGCGTGTTAGAGGGATTTGTAAATGACTCTCATTCCATTTCCAAGTAGTAATTTGTAAATCACTCTCACATTCCTTTTGTATTAATGCTCATGTAGTGCATTTCTAATCCCTCCTATCTTACTTTTATGATCTATTTCTTTATCACTAGCTATGCCAAATAAATCCGTTAAAATTTAGAGGTTCCTCACCCATACATACCCCTACTGAATGTAGAAAAGTATCACAAGATTGACATAACAATTTGTTAGAAGCATAATGGCTTTACTTAAATAGATGATAGCCCTAACAGTGCTTCCATCTTCTAATCGAATAACAAAAGTTGTTTATGAAAAACATTTTTAAAAAATACTTTACCTATTATAACTAGTAAACAATTTTGTTACGAGATATGTTTTACAATATTACTTCTTCTGTGTGTTTGATCAGTATGCAACTCAAATTTTTTTTCCTAGATATGTTTATTGTTTTCCTACTCTGTCTTCCCTATCTACAACTTGATTAATGGTGTATAAACCTTCCTTTTTGTTTATTGGGTTTAAGGATGTTGCATGGAAGATTGCGCAAACTGCTCAACAAAACACTGGTCGAGGTATTATCATTATGTCTGCAACGGGAATGCTTAAAGAAGTTACACTGATTAACCCGGCTCACGGAATCAGTCCTATAAAACAAGAGGTCTGCCATACTCATTCCATTTCAAGATGTATTTTGTGTGTGCTTGTGTGTGTGTGTGTGTGTATGTTTGTGTTTTACACATTGGTTTAAGAATGAAAAGCAATATGTGGATATATATCGATATCTTGATGCAGTACTGCAATGTGCGTACTGGAGACTTCTGTTTTTCTAACATACATTGCTAACTTTCTTGTAGGGTCAGTTTAATATAATTCAAATCTCTGGGTCGTTTATGATGTATGACAACAAGGGAACTTGCAGTGGTGGAATGTCTATTACGTTGGTAGATTCTGATGGTCGTAGTGTAGAGGGATCTGTTGGAGGATCTCTGATAGCTGCCACTCCTGTGCAGGTGAGGCTTTTCTCTTATAGCGTTTGTCTCTCTCTTTCTATGACGTGTGATTTCTTTTCTTCTTTTTTTTTTTTTATTTCCTTACGTGTGTTTATACCGCCTTGGTCTATATATTATAACGGGCTTTTGGTATCGTGAAAGAATTATACAAACTATTAACAAGTTGAAAAGATTAAAGAAAGTTATTTTCGTATTTTATTTTTACACACCTTTTTTTTATTTATGTCTTTGGATTGAATAACGGAAAGGATAACTATGCGTAGATTTACGTCAAAGACAGAAAATGATGTGTGAAAATCACTTCCGAATATTTAAAGGTCTTTAGGACAACACACAAGTTAACTAGCATGTACGTGTTCAAGTAGATTGTATATGATGTGTGGAAATCACTTCTGAATATTTAAAGGTTGATAGGACAACATACGAGTTAACTAGCATGTACGTGTTCAAGTAGATTGTAAAATTAACCAAAAGTTTGACCTAACAAAGATGTACGTAGGTTCTTTTTTTTTTTTTTGTCAAACAAGATGTGCATAGGTTTTGATTATCATTAAAAAAAGTTAAGGTTTTATCATAAAGCCAATTGGCAATATGTGGAACTTTGTAAGGTTTCTATTCTCTCCCATATGGGACTTATTTACCTTCACATCTCACATTATTTACTTTAGAAGGTTTAACATAGAACTTTGCTTTGATTCTCCATATACCCTAAAACGAATATCTTACCTTTCTATCTTTGAACATGACAAGGTTTGCATAGGCAGCTTCACCATAGGACAACAAACAATAACTCCTCAGGCGGTGAAAGGCCCAACAGCACCAGAAAAGACCTAAGTTCACGTTCTACTGTAGCATCTCAATGGTGACTACTGACGTCAACAGTCACTTTTAATCGTGAGAAACCCCAATTGTCACAGTGCAGTTATGAATTTAGTGATTGGTTAACAATTTACATTATGGAGGCGTTACCATGATTATAAGAAGACTCGACTTTTCTTTTCTTTTGGTTATAAGTTATGTTCTTCTGTTTTTAATTAGTCATGTGTTCATCTTTTCTTGCTCCTCATCTCCATTATTCTTGTTTCCAGATTCTGAGAATCAGTGGTCTTAGATAGATATGTAAGAGCAAGATTAACACTAACAAAGATTCAACCAATTGAATCACAACTCTCCACTGATATCAACATGAATTAAAACCCTGTTATTAAAGCTGCAATACTAACCTGCAGAATTCGATCCAGATGATGAAGCCACTGTAGCTTCAAGAACTATAACTTTCTCCTCTTTAGCAATACGAAAAAGCTCTCCAAAGAACAAGACTTGAAATCTCGATGAGCCAGGGAATTGCAAGAGCAGTGGCCAAGTTCTTATATAGTATTCTTTAACCATTCCCTATCAGAATCGGTTTAGAATTCTAACTCAACACAACCAACATGTAAACATTAGTCCTAAATAAGTTCCAACACTGAGTTTCAATTCCACAAGAATTACTCATAACTTTTATCATACTTATTCCACAAGTAATTCGCATAGGTCACAGCTTCAGATTTTAAACTTTTCCATATCAATCTCAAACACTACAATCAGTTCTCTTGCATAATTCATACTCATAAACTTACATTCTCCAACCTGAGTATGAACATGATAACCAACTATCAAGATTAACAGAAGTGATCACCAAGTCTAAAACTCATAACAGCTTATCATCACATACTCGTATTCAAATACATTTGAAAATATGGAATTCAAGGATCTAATCTGCACAACACAAAATCAATCCAAAAATTACAACATATCTAATCTGTACCTCATATTTATGTGAACCAATACAACAGCAAATATCAAGAAAGCACCACTCCCACTTATTAGCCAAGTCTCAACTCAACAATGTCAAGATCCCAGTTAACATCCACACCAGAACATAATATTAATAGCCCTTCAAAAGTATGCATCAGTAAAATCACAAGATTTGATTTTCTAGAAAACAAAAACTATTATTAATGACAACTTGTCTTCTGGAACAATTAACCACAAAATTGGAAAAATTAAACTTTAACAGAAAACCAAAATAAGACAACTAACTAAACCAACTTAAAATAAACTACCTAACTCAAAAGTTTGCAGCTTCAACCATTAATTAGAAGCATGAAGCATCAACAGCAACTTTTAAGTTCCAGAATGGCTTACTCCCACTTGTCTAAAGATTCTAGCACTCCCATCTATGTCACTTGCGCTTTAAACACATTATTAGGCAATGTTTTTGTGAGAGGGTCTGCAATCATCGAACTCATTGACAAATACTGAATTTCTATCTCCCTTTTCTTCACCATTTCTCTACCCTTGAGAAACTTCAAGCAGAAGTTCTCTTGTTATTTTTCGAGAAGAACACAGCAGCATTGTTATCACAATACATTTTCACTGGACCTTGATGCGTAAAATAACTAAACACACAAATTAAACCCTCTTTTTATCAATTGTAGTAAAGTATGTAAGTAGGGATCGTTCTAGGCCGGGGATTAGGAGGGATTGCTAAATCACTTGGAAACTGACTTGAAAACGTAAAAACAAAATTTAAAACACTAACTAGACTCAAAGAATGCAAACTATACTTTAAAACACTAAAACAAACCAAAAGACTCAAAACAGCCCCTAAACACTCAAAACTACCTTAAAAACACAATCTAGGCAATTTTGGGACTCTCACACAAACTTGGACAAATTTTGGTTTTCTAATGAACTAAAACACTTAAAAACATAATCTAAGACAAGTTCTAATTAATATGACTCAAAGAAATAAGATGGGGTTGATTTTCGACGAAAATAATTAAATTAAGACAAGAACAAAGTAAACAAATTCTTAGACAAATTTGGGTGAATCAAAACACTCTAACACACAACCAAAACAGAAATTAAACACTTTGAAACAATAAAGTAAAAGGGGGATTTTGGTTTTAATGAATTTGAAAACAAAACAACTTTGTAAAACAAAACAGATTGTAAGTGAATTTGAATGAAACTTATGGATGGAAGATTAGCTAGGAGGTTCTTCTCCACACATGTCACACTTGCATACAAAACGATTTCCAGTTGCTTTTCGATAAGCTATGAATACTCAACGCCCCAAATTAACCATGAATTGCACTAATTAACCCTCAGTTTTTTCCACAAGTTATTAGGTTGGATGATTGCATACGACAACCCAAAACATTCCCTACAAGTTCCCTACATGAATTGCATAATAGAGAAACAAGCAAGAATCATTAAGTTCTATGAAAAACATAAGCATTGACGAGGCACTCGTTACTATGATTTGCATGAAACTTATGCCAAAAGTTTACTTAACGTGATTGTGACTAGCAACCTTCACTACTTGTGAATATAAGTTTATAACGATTAGGTGAAACTCCCTTATATTCTACCGTCAAATTCATGCATGAAAATTAAGCGTGCACTCTTAACCAACATACACAAATTAGTTTTTATATGAACGGATAAGTAAATTGAATTCACAACTTATGAATCACAACTGGATGTAATCAAATCATATTGCAAGTATGAACATAGTTTCGAATCACCCCCTAACTAAGAGGGGTTTAGTTCCTCATACTCACAAAGCAAAGATACATAAAATTAGACATTAAAATCAAAGGAAAGAAAACACCTAAAATGCTCCAACTTGGTAGCAAGTGCATCCAAGATTCCTCATTTCCCTATGCTTGCGGCAGATTGGGTTATGGACAGATTTTGGGTAGTTTTATGATGTAGAATGGATGGGGAATGGTATGGAAGGGTTTAGGGTGAGTGTGGAGGAGTGTTTGATGGTTGGAGGGTGGTGGAGAACTAGGCAAAGAGGGTGGAAGAAGGTGGAGTGGCTGTTATGTTTTCTAGGCACTAGAATGGTGTTTTTTGGGTGTTTTGCTTCCTAGGGTGTGTATGGACGAATTTTTGTGATAAAAATGATGAATATGGGGGATTGTCCTTTGGCCAAGGGGTGTAAACATGTATTTTTATAGGCCCCAAAAACCTTAGAAAATCAGGTTAGGTTAAGGATGAAATGCATGGCAATTTGTGTGTGTGGTGTGCAATGGTCCAAGGGTGAAAATGAAGTAATGATGCAAAGTGTGAAGGGTAAAATGGAGTGGTGTTGTAGCTAGGGAGCATGAATGATTGTGTACATTGCATAGAGATGGAAAGGGAGGTGAAATGTGTCAACAAATGGGTCAAAGGTGCAACAACATGTGTTGCACATGGCATTGGATTCCAAATGTGAATGATGGAGCATCAATTGGTGCATGTAATGGATGTAAATGTTGTCTAAAATCTAATGAGTGAAGGGAACAAGAGGTATCAAGCAATTGAGTGTAATAATTAAATGAATTGAAGCATGAAATTAGAAATTATGTAGGGGACAAGAGTGATCAAGCATGGCATGGAATCCAAAGGGAATTCTATGTGGTTTGCATGGCAAGGAATGCAAGTTGGGGTGACAGATTTTTGGGCTGTTTCTTCATCTTTTGGACCATAATTCTTCATATTCTTGGCCTCTTTAGTTCTCAAATTCGTCCATCCACTTGGCCCATGCATTTGCTATCCATTCCAAGCCAGAAACATGCTCCAAAGGCCTCCAAAATGCATCTTCTTGCCTACTTTGTCCATAAAATCTGAAAACACACGAAAATGACTTTAAACATTAAAATAACTAAGGAAACACGACATAAATGCACAAGAACAAGCCAACTAAGTCGCATAAATATGCTCCTATCAGACCTCTAACAGAATCAACAATCTTCATGTCAGCAATCAAGTTTTTTAGCCAAACAGCTTGTTTCATCCCTTCAAAGCATGCCACAAACTCAGCTTCCATAGTCGAGGTTGATACAATAGTTTACTTGACACTTTTCCATTAAACAACTCCTCCACTCAACTTGATAATATACCCACCAGTTGATTTTCTCTCATCCACATCTCCAGCAAGATCTGAATCAGTGAATCCAACCAACTCCAATGTATCTTCTCTTCCATATACTAACATAAAACCTTTAGTTCTTTGCAAATATCTCAACACCTTCTTTGCTGCCACCTAGTGAGCTTCTCCAAGATTTGATTGAAACTTTCCCAAAAGTCCAACAATAAATGCTAAATCATGTCTAGTGCAAGGATTAGCATACATAAAACTTCCAACTAATGAAGTCTTATGCTCATTAGTTTAGTCTCATGCTCATTCCTTGGACATTGGCTTCTCGAGAACTTATCACCCTTGTTCATTGGAACATCAGCTTTGCTGCAACTTTCCATATTGAATCTATTGAGTACAATCTCAATGTAATCTTTCTAAGATGAACCAAGGACCATTTTCTATATGTCCCTGACAATCTCAATTCCCAACACATAATAAGCTTTTCTCAAATCCTTCATTTCAAAATTTGTACTTAACATATGTTTGCTTTCATTCAATTGTTACTTATCTAAGCTTGCAAGTAAGATGTCATCAACATAAAGAACAAGGAAGATAAACTTCAAACCTCTGGTCTTGAGATAAATACAATCATCCATCTTGTTCTCCATAAAACCATGTGAAGTCACAACTTGATCAAATTTCAAAAACCATTGTTTAGAAGCCTATTTAAGTCCATAGATTGACTTGTTTAATCTACAGACCATATGCTCCATCCCTTTTTCAATAAATCCATAAGGTTGAGCCATGAAGATTTCCTCATCAAGTCCTCCATTCAAAAAAGAAATTTTGACATCCATCTAGTGCAACTCAAGATCAAAGTGTGTTGTTAATGCCATGATGACTCTCATTGAGTCTTTGGAAGACACTGGTGAGAAAGTGTCATTATAATTAACACCTTGCCTCTATATAAAACCCTTTGCAATTAGTCTTGCTTTATATCATTCAATTCTTTCCCTCAGCATCCCTTTTGGTCTTAAACACCCATTTGCAGCCAATTGTCTTGA